TTTTCCAAAAAGGAATTTTCTATGGACCATTATTTTATATATTTATATATTATGCATTTAAAAATCAATATTAAAAAATATTAATATGAAAATTTCAAATTTGATATCAAACTAATCTTTGTTCCTTGGCTTTATTAAACTGAACCTTTTGGGAAGCATGAGAGCAAAATCAAAAGGCAAACATTGTAGTGAACAAGTTTTGCTGTGTTGATTACTAGTAATAAATATACATAGTTGATTATTTACAAAAAAATTGGTTCTCCAAACACATGATGCCCAATAATTGAAAAATATATATCTTTTAATATAAAAAAGTTGTCTATTTCTAACAATGAATATGTGTCACCATTTCCAATAATTTTTGTTGTATATATACATGATAATAACCTCTTGATCAAAATGATATTCTGGAAGATACTTTAATAATGTAACCGAGGTAGATAGATCCTTTTTGATGATTATTACTACTTAAACCACCCATGTAAAGCATAATGGAATCGCATTTGAAGCAACAAGTAAAAGGACAGACAGAGAGAGTGAACTGTGTAAATTCTACCAATTTTTTATAAATTTAAAAATAAGTTATACACTAGAGTGCTTAATTTATAACTTGCTTTTCAAGAAATCTGCTGTGACAAGGTTTGACTGTAATAATAATAATAAAATTAATAAATGGTGATTAATCGGTTAACCAAAAAGAATTAATCAGTTAAAAAAATATCTTAACCGGTTAACAGTGCCAACCCCTAAAGGCACTAAAGAGCAGCAAAAGAAGAAGGAATTAGTTCTTTGCATAATCTACCACTATTTTTAATCCAAGTGATATTGTATACAATATATACCATTCCAATAATTATCATAATAAAAATGACCAAGCCTCCAAAAAAGGCAAAATATTAGGGATTGCTAATTATAAGAATCGCAACTAAAGATTTTTTGAAGTAGATGGTTGTTGGAAATCAATTTTGGAGTCAAATTAATTATATTGAACAGTCGAATCAATTTGAATGAATACTGCTCCTCTCCTCATGACATAGTTGACCTGTTTTATGTTTAGATAATGACTATGTTTTTTTTACGCCACATAAATAAATATGCCTTGCATGCTAAGTAAAAGTTGTTCTACAGTCAAATAAACACGCCTATTTGTCTTTTGAATTTTAATAGCAGACAAATATTCTATTTTAAAATTCATCATAACTTTATTTTCTTTAGTATAATAATAATGAATCGTGGATGATCTGTTAAACATCAATACCTGTTGAAGCTGTGTTTATTTGTTCTTATTTGGTAGTATTATTTAATACAAAGAAATTATTAGACATCATTAAAAAAATTATTGGAAAGAGGTTATTTTCTAAGATTACGAAAATTAAAACATTATTATTACAAATACTTGAAAACATTACATATACTTGAAAGTATACAAATAAATACTTGAAAATTTGAATATAATTCAAATGTCATATGGATTGTTGCACATTTAGAGAGAATGGTTTTATGTGGAGTATCTAGTTACACACATGTTTTTGATATTTCAAGCAAAAAACTCAAATTTGATCCAGGGTCTCATACCTAGAGAACCTCATATGGAGTGCAACAAGCAGAAAGTGACCCATTGGTTTTTTAATCAAATTTGAGTAATATCGTATCTATATATATAATCTGCCTTGAAGAACATTTTTAGCTTAGAAATCATACTGGCAGCTTAACACTTCAGATGCAGATCTTTTTTGTCACTTTCTGCTTGTCACATCCCATATGGACTGGGAAAAGACTGTGCATCAGGGGGCGTGCCTTTATTTCCAAGTCCCAAGCTTTGGAAATGAGGAGAGTGCATAAGATCGCCAATTTGTGATGAAACTATGACAGGGGCCAAGATATAACTATTTTTTTCTTTTCACACCCTCATAATCACCCATACCACATACATCCTTTTCAACAAACATTTTATATATATTTATTCTTTTTTGTTCAGAAATAAAATAATTTTAATAATTTTCATGATTTACTCTTGCACCAACATCATTCAACTTTGAAAATAATAAGTCATTTTCTCCAATAACATAAGTCAATATAGTTTTTTGATAATACTCATCTGAAAACAATTCTAAGTTAGTTATGATATCATCTAATAAATATGCCTTGCCAATTGCTATACCATCTGGGATAGTGTCACTGCTAAGGTGTGTTATATGAATGTGGAAATGATCTATATTAAAAATATTTATAATTAGGATTGGACATGGCTATATATATGTAATATAAAGGCTCAATCACTTACAATAGGAAGGCAGGTAGTGCACAAACAATCTTAATTCATCTGCACCAACTCCCATAAACTTTTTTGGCATAAATTCCAAAATTTTTTTTCTTAAATTTTTTAACAATGGTATTGCAAGTGTGCAATCCGAGTTTCCTAATTAATAGGATTTTTATAGCTCAACACACAGCCTCCTTGCTGACTTACGGTTGATTCTATTGTTTGACACACAGCCTACTCACTGACTTATAGTCAATTTCCAATATTTATATATATGACACACAGCCTACTCGCTGACTTACGGTCAATTTCCAATATTTATATATATGTACTTATCTCCCAAAGGCGTCCCCTTGAGAGGTTTTTCAATAATTAGAATGTTAGCTATTGGTTGGGTACAGCAAAGGTTTACCCTTCGTGATTTATTAATTATTTTAGAGGTTCTTATTTTAAAGGTAAAATATGTTATGTGTTTTATTAGCGATAATAATATTATTATTACAACATGTTGGAAATATTAATTATTAGATCAATAATTAAAAGATTGTTATGAACATGATTCTTCTCACTTGGTCTAAAACCAAGCTCTTTTATACCTCTTGGGGTATTACAAATAACATGACTTTTACACTAGTTTGTCCAATAGGCATCAGGAAAATGGGTACAAATATTATGCGTATATAATACACAATTGCAGGGATTAAGCATATAATATGCGTACAA